AAACTAAATATTTAAGTCACAAGTTAAATATTTAGCTTGTTGTATGAATCATATGGTGAAAAACTGACTTTGAAAAATAAATCTGTTATTTTTTTCTTATAAAAGGCTAAATAAAACAAAAATATTGGTGGTAATTTTTGACTGTGTAACTTTACAAACGGCAGCCCATACTACAGCCCCAGAGAGCCCAGTTGTTGCTTAAAAATATCATAAAGGCTGATTAAAGGGCCAATTGCTGGATGCAAAACAAAGGTTAGTTTAGAAGTGAGAGGTCAGATATTAGAACTGTGGCTGCATAAATCAAGAAAGGAAAATAATATTCAAAAGTATTAAAGAAAAACTCAACTAGAAATTCAGATAGTGCTGACAAAAAGAGAGGAATGATCTCATGCTGTCTGACTTTTCACAAAGGGATGAGAAAGGTAGAAGTGAGGCACTCCCCTCCAGGATTCACACTGACAAACTCAGCTTGTCTTTCACACACATTACTGGTTCACACGTTTGACTTTTTCACAGTGAGGCAYCTTTTCTTTTTGTGGAGCTTAATTTCTGAATCATTTCTTTTGTAGCTTGTGTTGTATTTGTTTTGGCTCATGATGTTTTACTTTGGGTCTTGTGCCTCCACAAAAGGGTTTTTATTTGATGTTCAGACGTTTGGCAAACCTAATCAACCTGAAAGGTTTGCACTTCTGACTTCTTGTAGATTCTTGTAGATTCTTGTTGATAAAGGTTCTAGGATTTGGATCTGGAACCAAACAGACTTGGTGCCCAGTCAGTAAAAGGGGGCCGCTGTGGCAGAGTGGTTAGGGGAGTCATCCTGGAACTGGTAGGATGCCAGGATCAGTGTATGAATGTGATTGGCTCTGATTAGTCTCCATAGTTGTACATGTTAGCTTTGTAGGAGATCAGAGTGCTGTGTGAATGGATAAATGAGGACACAGATTGTAGTGTGAAGCACAGTTGGATAAAAAGACACTATACAAGTACAGTCCATTTACCATTTAAAAAGAATCTGTCTGGGATCATGTCAGTGTATGCATGTTGT